TTGGTGGAGATACCTCATGTTTACAAAGAGACAGTTCTGGTCAGATGGGTTTCTGGTATTAGGGCTCCCTCAGTTTTAAAAAAAAAAGTTCTAAAAAGACTTCTTGGAATAGATGTCAGAATATCAAGACACCCCGTACAGTATGTTTGAGTGACAGGACTTTCTTTCTCAAATATGCAATGCAAAACTAACAGTAGCAAATTGGCTTGACTTCAGTTGAGTAACTACCAGTGTGTATATTTTGCTTTTGTCTGTTAATGAAGTTCCTGACTGTCCTGAGATGGAAAGAAAACTCACAACAGCTGAAAATGCACAAACAGTAAGTCAGAGCCTGAAAGAGAATGGATAGATGATAACAATATTACTGCAAGTGAAACCCATAACAGAATTGAAACATCTTCCTACCTGAAATGTCTATTATTCTTGATTTTAGGTGCTGGTAATCTGATCTATTTTTCCAGCACCTTCTCTGTGCATATTACAGGACAGAATAAGGGGCATGGCCTTTAATATGATGCATGCTATATTGGGAACTATGGTGAAAGAGCAATTCACTTGTTAAACTGGTGGGGAAGAAAACTATTAAGAATAGTTTCACAATAACATGAGCAATTACAAATAAACTTACAAGTCAGGAGTAGGAGTAGGCTATTTAGCCTCTTCAGCCAATTCCACCATTTTGATAAGATCATGGTTGTTTTAACCTGAACTCCATATTCTCGCCTATCCTCGAAAACCTTTCATTCTATTGATTATCCACCGCTGCCGGAAAAAAATATTCAAAAATTCTGCTTCGACCACTATTTTGAAGGTGGGAATTCCAAAGACTCATGACTCCCTGAGAGAAACTCTGTATATCAGAGTTTGAATTATAAAAAAAAATTCCTAATATTGGAGAAGAGGAGAAAGGGAGTTTGACAACTTATTTGTCAGGTAATGAAAAGACTGTTCATCTTCTGATTGACCATGGGAAGGTGGGCACCATGAAGGTGGGCATGTTGGGCAATCAATGGCACTGTGGTGTGGAGTGATTAGAGGCTAGAGCTGAGGTAATGCAGCCAGAGTGAGAACAGTGAGTGCATGGCCCAGAGGGACACCCTCACCTGCATGCTGTTCACCAAAATGCTGAACAATTGGTATTTTCCTGAGGCCTAATCAGCCAAAACTTCATTGCAGGAGCAATTCCTTGACACAGGAGAACGCTTGCAGTCAAGTCTTAATGTAAAATATGTTTTCAGAGATAGGATCTTGGACATTGTGCTAAATTGTTCTGTGATCTGACATGAGTGAGTAATGTTTAACAGTAGCTGATGGCTCAGTGGTCCGTTCCAGAGAGCTGCCCTCTTTAAAGTAGAATTGAGCATTGCTTTGATGGATAAACATGGATAAATGGATAACCTAATGGATAAATACACTGCCTACTGTTGATATTGAGCCATGAACAACAGGAAGATCCTGTGTTCAGTCACCAGTCGGAACTCAGCTAGTAGATTCCACCCGAGCGCATGTGTGTGTGTGTGCGTGTGTCACTGTTGGAGTTGTCTGGAATTCCCTCCCTAAATCTCTCCATCTCTCTAACCCTCACTCCATCTCAAAGATGGTCCTTAAAAGCTATTTCTTTGACTATGCTTTTGGTGGCCTATCCTAATATTTCCTTATACGTCTCGGCAACAAATTCTAACTGTTCACTGCCATCAAAGGTGCCATATAAATGTAAGTTATTCTTAATGAAAAGTAAATTCTGATGGGGTTTAAAGTACAGTCCAATCCAGTTGGTCACCCACTGGGCAGCTCAGGTTAAAATGATTAGTAGGATTGGATTTATTTAGAAAGTTATTGGAGCTGTACTCTGTTTAACAAACTACTTATCCGAGTTGAGAAATCTCATAAGGGCTTGGAGTGGAAAGCTGGAGCCGGATCAAGTAGCCAATCCTTGTTAAATCCAGATCAGTCACTGCATTTACCTGTTGGATTGAACATTAAAGCGTCTTACAGAAAATCTCACCTGATCGTTACTTTCCATCCAGTTCGGAGGGACCTTGTCCTCATACTGAGTGGGTCAGCCTGTACATTGTAGAGGGAACTGGCTGATATCACTTTGGGTAGGAATCCTTTATTAGAATGTTCCTCATTGATGCATCATTGGGTGGAGCACAGTATAAGAAGGCTGGCACCTCCAAGGATGAAACCTCATATTGACTTGAATCACCCAAAATTTGTTGTCCATTCCCTTACTCATACCAAGTCTTGTTCACCCTTTACTTCTGGTGCTGTCTCATTTACTTTGGCCCCAGGTTAACCAATACCGTGAATTTAAAACTCTCATCCTCATTTTCTAATCTCTCATCTTTCCCTATCTCAATAACTGTATCCAGCCCATAAGCATCAGAAATCTCTGCACTTGTCCTGACACAACCTGTTCCATATTTTGGACTTGAATTTCTTCGCCGCTGGTGACTCAGCTACCTCCGCCTTTTGCTGTAAAATTCCCTTTCTCAAACTCTCCGCCTTTAAGACAATCCTTAAAACCTAAACTCAAGGTTTTAGTCAGGTGAGGCAATAGCTCTTTAGGTGTCAAATCAGGACAATCATTAAACTAGAATGACATTGTTCATAAGTGAAATCAGGAAGTGATAGACTTGCAGTTTTCAAGGGCAGAATCTTCCCAGACTCTGAATAACATAGACAATGGCAAATCACAGAGCTATACAGCACAGAAACAGACCCTTCAGTCCAATTCATCCATGCCGACCTGACATCCCAATCTAACCTAGTTCCATTTGCCAGTATCAGTTGGCAAAATATGACAGTTATGGAAAAAGATGAGATTTTTGAATTTTGAGGAAACAGTCAGATTTTTCTCTCAAGGCTTCAACTGCGAGTTGGGAGTCGCATTAGGAAATGGTGAGAGGCCTATTTGCAAGGCGTTAACATTTTCTTATTATCTAATTTTGCCTAACTTATACACAATTTACCATTTTCCCAGAGGAGAGAAACTAGACAGCAACAATACCAACAAGAGAGCCTGAGCAGGTATCTGGCAACTGCAAATTGCTGGCTCTTCTCAGGGTATCTATCTTGGCCAACTTCCCCCAATACCTTGGTGCTCTCTCCATGCATAGTGACCAACAACACCTTTATTACTGTGGGTTGTCATTGACAGTGGACCAGTTCCATCTCATCATCATGGCACATTTGGGCTACTTATGATACTACATTTTAGAGCTCACCTGACACCTTATATTGCTGAAATTGCTGGAGAAACTCAGCAGGTCTAGCAGCATCTGTGGGAAGAAAGCAAAGTTAATGTTTCGAATCTGGTGACTCTAAAAAGAACATGTTATTGACCTTTTTGCAGTATTGCTGGGTGGTCCTCCAGGCTGTGGACACTGTGTTGACTCAGGTGGCAACTTCAGACAAAGCTGGCAGTGTCTGACATAGTATGCAGCTGATATTTAAATAAGATGCCCATGGCATAAATGCCAGAAGGTCCTGGCATTTAAATGGTGCTGAGGGCACACTAGCATGAGAGTGATGACACGGAGGCATGGCACACACTTAATGAAGTGAGCAGCAGACTACTGCTTGAGATAACTCGCTAGAGCTCAGGAAGACAAACCCTCCATGAAATTCCATGGAAAAGACCAGTTTTGATTAAAAGTCAGCCCCAGACTGAGATTGCTGGGTATCCTTGCTCAACAAAGAACTGCAGGAAATGAGGGTAGAAGACGCGGGTTAACTTAGACATGTGCTTCTCCAATGCTTTCCTCTCATCTGTCACAGATAGAGAATTGATTTATTGAAAAACTGTGGTGGCAGATGCTGGATTGTAGTGACAATCTATGGTCTCCGATGTTTGCCGGTCGATATAGATAGCACCCAATCAAATGTTCTATTTCCAAACATTGGCTGGTCAGTGAAGCAAAATTAGAAATCAGTTTGGGGTGGAGGTGAGAGATTTTTTTACTTTGATAATGAGGTCGCCCAACCATTTTATCTCTAAACCAAGGGGCAACTACCTATAGGCAAGAGGCTCCTCTTTGAGATGGGCTGCAAATATACATCAAATGGATCTCCACTGCTGTCTACAATTACATATGGGGCCATTGCTTCTTTTCTTTGGCAATATCAAGTCTACAGCTCTGATCCCTAGCGCCTGCCCCATCCCCTAATCACACAGCCCTGGCCTTCCAACTCTATCATTCCCTTTTTTAGTTATGGTGTTGCATCAAACTGTGGAAAGATGTTGAGGTGGGATCTAGTCAGTTATTCTCCTTCTCTACCCTCCTTAAGGTAGGTAGGCATGTGCAGTCTTGATGAAGTCGCTGGATAGCTGTCACCTTTCACAACATCTTGTAGCATTGTTTATCTTTCTCTTGCTTTCCTCTTTCATGAAAAATGCTGCATTTTGCACAACTGTCTATGCTAAGTTGCGCCACACATCAAACAATAATAATAACTATTTGTTAACCACGTGGACATATTTCTCTTGGCTGAGTCAGAAGATCCAAGTATTTGAGCACCTAATAGAAAGCTGAAACTTCCAGTGCAGCAGTAAAGGAGTGCTATACTGTTGAAGATGCATTCTTTTCAATGAGTCCTTAAACTGTGTCTGCCCTGTCAGGAGGTTGTAAAAGCTTGCATGATGTAACTTGGAAGAAGAACATGGGAGTACTCGCTGCTAGCCTGGGGCAACACATATCCCTCACCTAACTCACTAAGGTAGATCATTTATCTCACTCCTGTTTATTGGAGCTTGCTGTGTGCAAATTGGCTGCCATTGTTTCCTATGTTACCTCAGTGGTTAAACTTCAGAAAGGACGTCATTGGCTGTGAGGCACTTTGAGACATCCTGAGGTTGTGAAAGTTGCTATACAAACACAATTTCATTTTTTTATATATATATATATATATATTTCCCATGTTATTCAGTTTGCAGGTTTTCTGATGTTAATGGTCCTGTCACCTTGGAGTGAGTGAGACACTGAGAAGGTAGGAAGATGAAAGCTGAGATCTCAGATATGAGCCAGTGGACAGAGGTGGATTTGGAAGAGAAGTGCACCTACATTGTAAATGACCAACCGGCGGACCCAGCAAAATATGCTGAGATCCCTCTGGCCAGAGCTTCCATACCCCGAAACCTTACCTTCAAGTACACAGCTACCAATGAGGTAAGTTCCTCTCAGCCCAACTGGCCCATTATCTCTGAGCACCACTCAGTAATGTCAAGTAATATTACAAAAATAAATTCAAGTTTATATAAATGTGCCATACAATGTTAATTTCCACTTGGAAGGACTTATTCATTGTTATTCTTGGGATTGGTCACTGGCAGGTCAGTGTGTATTGCTTTTCTCTTCATTGTCTAAGGTCAAAGCTATTGCATAGAGAACCACCTTGTATTTTCATTGGAAGCAGTGTGACATCCAAAGCATGAGCTATAGACAGGCATTGTAAACCAAATGAAAGCAGTGGAACTAGAGGCAGGATAACAATAACAGTTCTGGAGTGGATTGTTGTGATCAGAAATCTCCTGCCTGCCTGGATGGTAGAAGCAGATTGAACCAAGCTTTCCAAAAGGAATTCTTGAGAATGAAGCATTTTAAGTTTTCCGATTTAAAAAGTCGGGAGTGAAACTGATTGGATAACTGTTGCAAACAACTAACACCAGCACGATGGACTGAATGATTGCCGTACATTTCCAGACTGGTCACATTGTATTGGCCCAAATGTTCTGCCAGATTTCAGGGGAATGGGTGGCGTTAAAGGTAGGGAGGAGGAGGCAAGGCCCACGTGCAGGCTGGTATCATTTCCTTGTGAGTTTGGGAGAAACACCACTGTTCCCCCGTCCCCACAGAAATAAGGGGATTGCTCATTAGACCACTGAATGCCTGGTATAATAAGCAGAATATATATTCTGCTAGGAAGGTAACTGGAAATGGCAGCTGTGACATTTTTACCTTTTGAGTCAGGAAGTTGTAGGTTCACATTCCACTCTTGAGATTGAGCTCAGAAATCTATAGTTGTATCCATTCATAAGTTCTGGAACTTTGCTGGCCAGGCCTGCAGTTGTTGTCCATCCCTAATTCCCTAGCAGCAGTTAGGAGTCAGCCATGTTGCGGTGAGTCTGGATCAAGTCTCATTTAGGCCCAATAAGGACAGCACTTTCCCCCCTCTAAATTTCGTTTGTAAACCAGCTGACAACTCATTTATGACAATAAATGAGTTTCCTGATCGAGACCAGCTTTCAACTCCAGATTGCTTCAATTAATTAATTTTTAATTAATAGAATTTAAATTCCATCAGCTGCCATGTTATGTTATGAGCCCATGGCCCTAGTTTGCTAGGAATATCATCATCACATCACCTCCCCTCTAATGCTGCAATATGAAGGGAATACTGCAATGTGTGTCACACTACTCTTCTGTCTTGGGTAGACATAACAGATCTAATGGCACAATTTAAAAACAGAGTAGGGGAGCGCTCCATCATTTCTTAGGGCCGGTGACCTCTTAGTCACCATTTGGGACAGATTATCTAACCATTATTTCATTGCTTTACACAAAGCCACATTTTTTTTCTATGCTGTAGCACTGATTACACTTCAAATATACTTCAATGCCTATAAAGGGCTTTGGAATATAATGTGATTGGAAAAGGTGCTATGGAAATGCAAGGGTAGCTTACTATTGTTTTCGTTGATTGAAAGAGATGTTAAATAACATATGAAAATTGAAATGAGCATTAGGTTGGTCTGGACAGACAAGGCCCAGTGAGTGACTGGGAACCAAGAATGATGAAAACCCTGTGGCATTTCCTGACTTCTGCGCCTTGCTCCTGGATTACGGTAGAAGTGTGAAGATGGAAAACCCAGTAGTTGGGGACGGGATATCAGTGCTCATATTTTTGTGGGCTCTTTGCAGGTGGAGATCCCAGATTTTGCTGGGACCCCTCGTTAAACCAACTCTGCCCAATGCTTCGACCACTTCGCCACTTTTTTGGTGGTTGAAAACCCCTCACCCCAACAGGTGAGGGAAAATCACTACCTACGTGTCAGAAGTGTGCAAGACAGGAAAAGACTCACACACACAAACACAAACTGATGACAGCTCTTGAGGGGATTTTGGCCTGGGTGACTTCACTCCACTTAGTGGAATATTCAAAGTTTCACCAAAATAACTGCATGTGAGTACAATAAGGCATCCAGCCACTGCACAGCTTACACTGCTGGTAGCAACTGTTCTGTTGTTCCATCTGCATTTGGGACCATTGTCTCACAGCGTAGTCTCTGAATTGACGCACATTTGTTGGTATCTGTGTCACAGGGAACTAGCTGAATCGTCTCCAGCTGAAGTATGTTCATGTTTGTATACACACTGTTTCAGATGAGCAAACAAGATTTGAGGGTTAGCCTTTAACTGTTGGCAAGCAATTCAACCCAAACTAATGCTCATTGGTCGTAGTCTGGTTCCTTTTGGGTATGTGCCCACAGCTCGCTATGAAAATAATTTTTATAATAAACCTTTGTGTTCCCATTAGAAACATTTCCTGCTCTTCTTCCAATAAGGTTATGAGAGTTTCAATGTTGACCCAAATGGTGGCCCCAGTATTAATACCTGATCTGAGGGGTCAATATCAGCACTCATTATGGAGCATTGGCCTAGGTCATGTGCTCAAATCCTAAACTGCAGTCAATCCCTCAATCATAGAGGTAAATAAATGTAGTTTGATATATTCCCTTGAGTTTAAATGACTGAGGGCTGATCTGATCAAAGTATGTAAGGAGGAGTCAAAAGTTATGTCCAGTTATGGAGAAAAATTTTGTCTGGTAAAACAAACCAAGGCAGGACTTACACAGTTAATGGTAGGGCCCTGGCAAGTGTCGTTGAACAGAGAGACCTAGGGGTTCAGGTATATAGTTCGTTGAAAGTGGCTTCACAGGTAGACAGAGTGGTGAAGAAAGTGTTTGGTACACTTGCCTTCATTGGTCAGAACATTTGAGTATTTGAGTTGGGACATCATGTTGAGGCTGTACAGGACATTAGTGAGGCTACTTTTGGAGTATTGCACACAGTTCTGGTCACCTTGCTATCGGAAGGATATTGTTAAATTGGAAAGGGTACAGAAAAAATTTACAAGGATATTATGGGACTTGAATTATAAGGAGAGGCTGGATAGATTGGGACTTTTTTTCAGTAGAGGGTAGGAAGTTTAGGGGTGACATTATAGAGGCTTATAAAGTCATGAGGGGCATAGATAAGGTGGATAGCAAAGGTCTTTTCCACAGGGTAGGGGAATTCAAACCTAGAGGGCATAATTTTAAGGTGAAAGGGGAAAGATTTAAAAGGGACCTGAAGGGCAACTTTTTCACACAGTGGTGGGGTGTACATGGAATGAACTGCCAGAGGAAGTGGTAGATGCAGATATAATTGCAACATCTAAAAGACATTTGGACAGGTTCAGAAATAGGAAAGGTTTAAAGGGATATGGGCCAAACGCAGGTATATGGGACTAGTTTATTTTGGGAAACCTGGTTTGGTATGGATGGGTTAGACCAAACGGTCTGTTTCTGTGCTCTATGACTGTATGACTCTATGTTCTTAGATTTGAAGCTAGGCCATAAAGGACTGAAATTAGTAAGTTAAAAATTAGGAAATTTTTTCCAATGGGAACACAAAGGGCCATGATGCAAATTATCTTCATAGTGGGTTGTGGGCAAGTACCAAAAAGGAACCAAACTAGGACCAATGGCTATTAAAACCAAAAGAACTGCGGATGCTGTAACTCTGAATTTTTTCTTCACTGATGCTGCCAGACCTGCTGAGCTTTTCCAGTAACTTTGTTTTTGTACCAATGGCTATTAGTCTGGGTTGAATTGTATGCCACCAGGTAAAAGCTAACCCTCAAATCTTGTATTTCTTTACACAAAGGGTACTGGAGATTTGGATCTCTGGGGCCAAAAGGCTGGTAAGTTTTTGTTGGGAAAGTTATCAAGGGCTATGGAACAAAGGCAGGCAAATGTATTTGAATTGTAGATCAGTCATGCTATAATTTAATATTAAAGCAAGCCTATGGGACTGAATGGTTCTCTTCAAATTCTAATGTTTCAAATGAAAACTAGCACCAAGGAAGCAATCTCTCACAGGGACACTTGGAGATAGGGAGGATTGGATTTTGCAAATGGAAATGTGGTGCAGTGGTGGTGTCTCAAACTGGATTGTGAGAGATTGGGCCTTGTCTGGTGTGTTAATGGGACAGTGTAGAAGGAGTTAACTCTGCATGTAACCTATGATGTTTGGAGAGTTTGGTGCAGAAGCTGAGTGATCGAATATGAGAAAGCCCTCACTTTGAACTTCAGATAGCACTGAGAGCAGCTGTGCCTTTTGTATGCAAGTGTATGTTACCGTGTAAGGCACCAACATGTTGGTGGTTCCTAATAAAGGTAAATGTAAAGTCATCTTCGTCCCATTCTCTTGCATCAAAGAGAAATGACTGGTGGTGATTTAACCTGAGGGTTACCATCCCCCAAGCAAGTGGCAAGGTCAAGAAGGTGGGACCTTCATGGTAACCTCAGCCAATGCAGGAATTGAACCCAATCTCTCTGCATCATAAACCAGTTGTCCAGCCAACTGAGCTAACCGACCCCCAAACAACATAAACTGTAACAGACAGATACTCAGATCTGTACTTGCAGCAGTTTTAAATCTAAATAGAAATCCTGCATGTCATGAGGTAGCTGGGCTAATAAGTGAGTTTGAGAGAGTGATTACTGTTGTTATGGGGATTTCTGTGCCCAACAGTCCATTCTGTGACTGCCTCATAAGTGAACATTTATGAAATTCCCAGTTGAGAGTTGGGAATGGAAGGGAGATGGAAACTGATTGCCTGCGAACCATGTATGTGTCTGGGTGTGGAATTTCCTTGCCAGGAAGAGTAAGTGCCAGTGAGTCATTTTCTGGTGACGTTCATTTGAAGAGCATGCTCCAAACACATGCTCCAATCAAGGCACACTGAAAATTTACCGGATGTTAGTGCAGAAAGAACTCTGTGAAACACAACAGAAACAATCAAAGCTGGTTCAATTAATTGCTGAGGATGAGCCTCAAAGCAGGTTGGTAAGTTACATTCAAGATTTCTGATTAGCTAATTAATTTAACTAGAGCTTATTGGC